GAAAAGAGAAAAATGAAAAATGAAAGTAAATGAAAGAGATTATTTATAAATATACGAGAAATAATAGAGTAAACCAATATGACATATTTGTAATTATTTTAATAATTAAAATATGTTATCCTTAATCTAAACGGCGTGCTGGTTTTCAGCTGCTCTGCTGACGTGTAACATTGGGCTCATTTCCCACGTGGGCTTTTGGTTATGATTGGCTGAGAGGAGATTACAAGAGATTTTACGGAACGGGAATGCATAACTCCTAAGCTTACGTGGCGATGGGTCCGTTTATCACGTGAAGTAGGACCCACCTATATATAGTTAAAAAACTGTACTAGTAACCCAAAATATATGACCCCTTTAACCATCTTTTAATATTGCTGTCATTAACTTTTCATTATTTATACAATTTGTATTTTTTCATTTTTTTTATAGAAAGAAATCAATTTGTATTTTTCGTATTTTGTCTTTTTACGATAATTTACATGTTTTTTTCCTATCAACAACCGACATTTCCGTAATTTTTCACTGTTAATATGTTTTTTTTTTTCCAGAAACGATAATTTACATGTTTTTTTCCTATCAACAACCGACATTTCCGTAATTTTTCACTGTTAATATGTTTTTTTTTTCTGAAAATACACCGTTAATATGTTGTAAACCGTAAAATTTTAATCAAGAAATAAATCTTAAAACGTATGAATGATAGTAATATTAATCCTATTGTTTATATTCATCATCCAACTTCAAAATCGCTTATTTCCATTCTTGTTGATTTTGCCGACAAAAACAACCTGCATTTGTTCCATATTCATTAACAATATTCACTGTAGTTGTACCATAAACCACCATTCCAACCCTTAATTTGATTTAGACACACGTATAATGCGATGATATATAGCTTACTTTTTAATTAGACAATAGTCTTGATTAAAACTAAAGCTCTATAGTTAATTTGCATAAATTATTTAGTGGTCCTAAAGTTAGAAAAAACAGTGTTGCCGAAGAGAAAGAGTCCCATTTATTAGGTTTATCATTATAAGTTTAGGCTAAATTTAATAAAGATATTATTAAAGTATTAACAAACCATTATGTCGTTTTTATCATATATAAATCAAAAATCACCCATGAGTTTTCCAAACGAGGCAAACGACAAGTGTACATGTAGATATATGGAAACGAATGTAATCGTTGATTAGACAAAAATGCATGGATCATTATGGGTGAGTGTGCGTAATGTAACAAAACAATATTCGTACCTATGTCCGACCCATTATCCTAAAGATGTTATAGGTAGTTATGAAATCTGCATAATTCCATTAAGGTCATGAACATATGTAATATGAGCCAAATTGTTATTAGTAGCCCATTAGGCATTTTTGTGTATTTCATACGTATTTCTGTATAAATATTTGTATATTTCTTATCAATGATAATTAAGTCTTTCATAATTTACA